TAGCTATGAAGAAAATGGTGACAATGATGATGATGAAGATTGAAGGAAGTGGTTGCAGGTGTTGCAAGAAATAGGAAGATCAAGCTGGACAAGGTCTAAAAAAGTAGAAGAGAACAGTTTACTCCTGTACAATCTATTCTGAGGAACGAGACAAGCACTCATGAAACAATTAGATTTTCTCCTCATGACTTCATCTTACACTTTCCTAACATACTTGTTCTAATAAGAAGGTTAAAAAAACCCCAAAACTATTACAGACATGGAGGCGGATGCATATGCAAGGAAGTTATTAAAACTGCCTTGATTTTAATAAATTTACCACCAGGTAGCAATCTCTCAATGTCGCCTCTTTCCAATTTGCATGTGTAACTGGCATCTCGTTAAAACATCATTAAGAAATTGAAAACCAGGAAGACATAAACAGACGCAGAGGAGAAACAGGGGCTCGGGGTGGGGGGGGTGCGGAGAGACTGTGGGTAGCAGAAGAGAGGAATTCTTGCAGGAAACATAACAAGAAACCTTACTTTGTTCTCTAAACCCAACCTGATTAGCAAGTGATGGGAATCAGAGTTTACATAGATAAACTGTTTGCAAATCAGCAATTACAAGACTCTTGTGAAGTCTTCATTTTCCCGGAATGATTGGAAATTGCAGTACAGAATGCTGTCACTTTTCTTCAGCTGGATCATCACTTAGGTGTTCAGGAGAGCTTCTTCCAAGAATGCACACAAGCCTTGGGTACACAAGGCGCGTCCTTGGAAGAAGCTCTCCCGAACATGTAAGTGTTGGTCAGGATGAATCCCATGGTGACTGAGCTCTTGGATTTTGCTGCTTCTTCTGTGGCCAGATTAACTTTTATTTATTCTTGTCTTGGTGTATATTTAAGTATGCTTTTTACTATTATAAAAGTAATATGTAGCCACTGCTGAAAAACTAAAAAAAAAAAAAAATTGACACTATATGAAAAGACATTGGGTCAAACTAATCTTAACAAAATAGTTTAATAAAAAGAGCTCAAGCTTTGGAGATAGGCAGGAGTGGGTCTGACTCCATGTTCTGCTGTTTAACTATTGTGTACCATGGGACTGAGTTTCCTTGTCATTAAAATGCGGAATGTGGTTTTGGGCAGATGAAATGAGAGAGTGTTAATGAAGTGCTGGCATATAGTATTTGTGCTTTGAAGCATTCAATATATAGTTGTTACTATTTTAAACCATCTTCTTTTCCTTCCTTCTAGAAATCACTCTGCCTCCTTTAATTTCTTGACTGGCTTTATGAACACTGGCAAACACTGGCAAACAAGGCCTTCCATTATCTGGCCCTAACATATCTGTTTAGTACTTTTCTGTATAAGTATCACAAAGACAGAAATTGTTATGTGTGTACATTTTACTGGTCTGTGAAGGCTAATGATTGAAACAACCCAGACATTTCAGGGGCTTAGCCTGGAATTAAAGCTTGCTTCTTTTCCATGCCACAGTACAGCATGGGATGGGGGTTGCTCTGCTCCATAGAGTCATCCAGGCATGCAGGCTCCTCCCACTTTGTAGCTCTGCTTTTCTCTATGTCCATGGACTTCTCTCCATTTACCCACAGAAATAGATAATGGCAAAGACGCAGCCACTCTTTGCTGTCTGGGCCAGATGGTGCCACACATATCACTTATGTTCACCTTCTATTAATGAAGACTCATGGCTCCATCAAGATGCGAGGGCAAGCTGATTACTATAGTTTGTCAGTGAGCTCTGAGAATGGTGAGAATTTGGAGATGGTGGGGGTTGGGGAGTTCTCCCAGTCTCTGCTCCATGTGTGGCTGCAACATGTAGGGGTCCAATCAAACAATCTGGAAAAGACTGTATTTGGCTTGTTTTGAGTCATGCCTGTAGCTCCTGCACAAGAGTTTCCACATACTCAGAATGACATCTCCCAACCTCAGCCACATGACTCAAGTGAGAGAGGATCCGTTTCCTGGAAGGAGGAAAACCGTGCTGAGCAGACCAATGTAGCTGCTGACCACTACGACTGAAGTGTCCGACACCCAGCTGGGTGGCCTGAGGGATGGACATGTATGATGGAGAGGACACAGTGTTGACTCTCAATATGCTTGCGCCTACCAACCCATTAGGGAATAATCAAGTGCTAGATGATAGGGATTATATCAATAATGCAAACTGGATTCAAAGAAGAAAGAAATGATAGTGCAAATGGAACAGCCACTGTGTGGCACAAAAAGGTTTATTTACTTAGGTAGGAGACCATCCCTGTGTGACTTTGGGCAAGTTGACCAGCTGGGAAATTTTGGTTTCTTTCATTGTTAAAATGAGGGCTAATTCTGTCCACATCACAGCATGGCTGACATTGTAAGGGAGATAATATACAGTCATGCACTGCACAACGACATTTCAGTCAAGGATGGACAGCAGATACAATGATGGTCTCATAAGATCATAGTACCGTGTTTCTACTGTTTCTTTTCGATGTTTAGATATGTTCAGTTACATCAATACTCATCATTGCTTTACAGTTGCCTACAGTATTCACTACAGTACCATATCATACAGGATTTTAATACACAGCAATTAAAATTACAACTAGGCTTGTAATAGGCTATCCCATCATCAGCCCTGATGATGTAGCCTACCACACACCTAGGCTATATGGTATATTTCCATTGCTACTAGTACAATCTATGATGTTTGCACAGTGGTGATACATTTCTCAGGATGTACCTCTGTCCTTAAGTGATGCATGACTTTACATGAAGAATTCAGAAGAAAACTGTTCAATCTGATAATCACTATTATTCAGCAAAGACTTCATGGAGAAGTAGAATTTCTGGTGGTTGGGTGGGTCGAAGGTACAGGGTGGGTGCGCAGAGAAGAGGGCTGCTGAGAGCATCCTTGGCAGAGGGAATAGTGGAGGCAGTGGTGTGGAAATGGGACTGAGCCTGTTGTGTTGGGACAGTGGAAGAGATTCCTTTCATGGACCTCCACCTACAGAGCTAAACTTTCTCCCTCCTTTTGCTCCCCAAGTCCTGCTCAAGATAAGAATTTGGAATCCAGGCCAGGTGGTTCAACCTGTGTGTAACAATTCTCCATCAGACCAGTTTCTGATCAGCAGTGGTTATGCAGAGAAGGCTGCTGAGGGCGATTTATAAACCAGGGTTGCTGCCCGCCTGGAGATCCAGTGTAAATTTGACTTTATGAGTCTATTTTTCTCACTTTACACACACACACACACACACACACACACACACACACACACACACTGCGGATCACGCAGACCTGTGAGTTACTGCCCAGGTTAATTACCTTCACATGAAAGGCTCCTAACTCTCCTCCTAGTGGTGGGGGCAGCGTCTCTTGAACTCAGACCCTTGATGTATGAAAGCTAATTGGGGCCAAATGGCTCTACTGTATGTATCCAGCTGGTGGGAGAGGAGGGCTGCCTGCAGAGTTTTGTCCCAAAGCTTCTTGCAGATGTCTGTTCCCCTTCACATTGTCACCCTGGAAGGATGTGTAACATTTCCATTTCACTAAGGGACATGGCACATGGTGAAGACCAGAGCCCAGAGACGGCTTGTTTGAAATCATGCAGATATATTTGTGGATTCTCACCGAGTACCTTCTATACACCAGACACACACTATCTGTTGCCTGTGACCCTCATGAAAGTACTTCAAGGTAGAAGTTTTTATTTCCATTTTACTGATGAGGAAACTGAGGCTTAGGGAGAAAGCAATTTCCACAAGGTCACACAGTAAGTGAAAAAGGTAAAGCTGGGATTTGAGATGAGATCTTTCCATTATAACCAGCAAACACCAGGGATAGCAGTTACTTTGATTATGAATCAGACTAGAGCAAATGTTTACTGTACACTTGTTCTGAGCCAGGGTTCGCGCTGAATGCCTTTATATGCAAGACCTCATTTCATTTTCACAACTATCCCAGGAGATTGGATTGACTGCCATTGTGGCCATTTCACAGATGTGGAAATTGAGGCTTGGTCACTTGAGTTAAGTAACTTGCCCAAGGTTCTCCAGAGGAAAGTTGGGTGTCAGGCTTTGAATTCAGGCTTTCTGACTCTGAGTCTCTTGCATAACCACGGCATTAAACTGCCATGTTAAGGGTAATCCTTACATTTCTTTAATTTTATGTGTACTTTTATGTGTCCTAGAGATAGGTAGATGAAGATAAGGGGCTACTGTTAGGTTGGTGAAAAAACAGTTTTGGTTTTTGCCATAGTGGCAAAAAAATGTGGTTTTTGTTCAGCATTAAAAGTAATGGCAAAAACCGCGACTACTTTTGGACCAACCTTTTAGTGAGCACCTACTCTTTTCAGTGCTCTATGTAAGTTACCTCAGGAACCCTCGTGATGACTCTACGTGGTGGGAATTCCTGCCTTGTCCATTTCTCAGATGAGAAAACCAAGGCTCAGAGAAGCAGGGTGACTTGGCCAAGGTCACAGTGTATGAACAAAGAGATCTTTGGTCCCTATAACCAAGAAGCCTGGAATCTCCCTGAGAATAGTCGGGTGTAAACGTTTATCCATTTATTGGTTTAGGTCAGTAGGCGGCCAGAACCTGAAGAGTTCCTTGCTGAAACAAATTAGCAGCACGGATGAAAAGGATTAGGCGATATCCAGCTAGGCTGGTAAAGCATGTTTCTGTGTGTCTGTTGAAGGTGTTTCCAGAAGAGATCAGCATTTGTAATCTCCTGATAGACTGAATAAAGAAAATCTACCCTTGGCTGGGCGTGGCACTCTCACCTGTAATTCTAGCACTGTGGGAGGCCAAGGTGGGCAGCTCATTTGAGCTCAGAAGTTTGAGACCAGCCTGGCCAAATGGTGAAACCCCAGCTCTACTAAAAATACAAAAATTAGCCGGCATGGTGGCGGGTGCCTGTAATCTGTTAGTCAGGAGGCTGAGGCAGGGGAATCACTTGAACCCAGGAGGTGGAGGTTGCAATGAGCCGAGATTATGCCACAGCACTCCAGCCTGGGTGACAGAGTGAGACTCTGTCTCAAAAAATAAAATAAAACAAAATAAATAAGAAAAGAGAAAAAGAAAATCTGCCCTCACCAGTGTGAGTGGGCATCATCCAGTCCATTGATGGCCAAGATAGAACCAAAAGGTTCAGGAGGGAAGAATTCACTTTCTGTTCTTGAGCTGGGACATCCAGCTTCTCCTGCCCTCAGACACAGGGACTCGCTTCTCCAGCCTTCAGAACCAGACCGATTTATACCACCAGCTTCCCTCATTCTCCCGCTTGCAGACTGACATGTTGTGGGACTTCTTGGCTTCCATAATTGCATGAGCAAATTCCCATAATAAATTCCCTCTTATTTATCTCTCTATGTATCCTATTGGTTCTGTTTCTCTGGAGAACCCTGACTAACACACAGGGCAAGGGTTCAAAATCAGATATATCTGCTGTCAAGGGTGTTTTCTCTAGTGTACATTACTGCCCTGTGTTTTTCATCCATGCCCCTAATTTGTTTGAGCATGGGGCTCTTCATGTTCTTACTGTACATTGACTGAACCAACAAATGGATAAATGCTTCCACCCAACCACCTCGAGGAGATTTCAGGCTTCTTGGTTATAGGAACCAGATGTCTCTTTGCTTGCATTCCCCTAGGCTAAGAGCCCCATGAAATCAGCCAGGGAGAGATTTCTGTTTAAATCTTGCCATTCATTGAGCACACAGCATGTGTCAGATATTGGCTTAAGCACTCTGAATACTTTAATCCACCCATAACTTCAAGGTAAGTATTGTTATTCCTGGACTCAGAGGGGATGGGTGGTTTGCTCAGGTCACCCAGGTCGTGAGGGGCAGTGCTGGGATTAGAACCCAGACCTCCCACTACTAGGTCCTGACCGGTTTCCATTGCTTCACTGCCTTTGGGGTGATGGAGGTTTATAAAAAGAAAGAGTTGGTACCAGAGTAAAAGCATGTCGACTGCCCTACAAGTTAGAACAAAATGTATAGGTAACTTTATTTGACTCCAAATACTTTACTCTCTTTCCTTTTTTTTCCTCTTTAATGTATTTGGAATTAGAGATAAGCTTGAAAGATGCCAGCAGGGCCTGCTAAAAGCCTGCAAAAATGACAAGGAAGATTACACAGCTGGAAAAAACTGTTTCAACATTTCTTGTGACATAAAAAAGCAAAGCCTGAAACAACAAAAAACCCACACGTAAGCGATGAGAACATCTGTGGAAAACCAGTGGGTAGAAATCACAGGATTCCGGCTTTAAATCCATATAAAGAAGACCCCCAGCAGTCCGAGTCATCCAACAGGCATCTGGAGAGGGAGCGAGGTCCCAGTTCCTAGAAGTATCCAAGGACTGCTTACCAGGTGCTGAGGGGGCAGAGTAGGAGGTAACTCAAACATCTGAAGGCTTGACTAGGTCACCTCGTGAAGTTCATCCCAACTTCATCCTATTGTGTATAGCAGAGGCTTACCACGACCACGTCTGCTTATTGGGCACATTTTAAGTGACAAATACTGTGCTAAGCAATTTTCTGATTCAACTAAAGTACCAGCAGGGCATACTTTGCTCCTTAAGAGCTAGATAAGATCAACTTGGATCCTTACTTCATGATTTATAGAAAGCCTAAACCCCCCCCTTGTGGTTTCTGTATTTCCAGGGCAGTGTGTGTGTGTTTTATGAGGAGGGGGTTCATTCAAAGGCATCTCTAATTCTGAGTTTCTGTTTCCACTGAGTCAGTTTACTTTCTGGAAGGTCTTTCTTTCTGCACATGTTCCTGTTACAAGATTTGGAACTTAGTCTCATTCCTTGATTTCCACAAAGAGTCACTGGTGGACTTGGCATGGACTGTCTGGAAGGTTTGCAGCTGCAGAGATAATTTAAGTTTACTGTCACGTTGGTCTTTAAGGGGAAAAAAAGAGACATGTTTGAAGCTGTGGTGATGCAAGCAGCAGGGATATCAGCCACCCCAGTTCTTAAAGGACTCTTTTCACTGCCACACTCTTGGGTATTCTGCCCTGGCCATCCCACCTTACATAGAGTCTGGTCACTTACTCAGCTCTCTGGCTTCTTTCTTCCCTTCTCTCTTTTCTCCCTTCCCTGTCAAGCAACCAGCCAATGCACCATCCAATCCACAGACTAACCAGTCACCTAGCCAGCCAGCAAACCAACCAACTACCCAGCCTGCCAATCATAAGCCTATCACTGTTTGTTTATTTATCTATCTATTTTTAGTTGCCCAGGTTGGATTTGAACTCCTGGGCTCAAGTGCTTTTCCTGCCTCAGTCTCCAGAGTAGCTGGGACTGCAGAATTGTGCCACCATGCCTGGCTTTTGACATCATTTTTTTAAAAAGTCACCATATGACATGCCGTATCAAACTTAAAAAAAAAAAACCATATAGACAGAAAGGAAGGAGAGAAGGAAGGAGACAAAAGAGAAAAAAGTAGCCTCTTCTTTACCAATGCAGAGCAATTCTGCACTCCCTTGGCCCTGAACTCCAGACCTGCCTTCTGGTTTCCTTCCACCCAAATAGTTTATCAAGGCATTTTCCAAAACTCACACTCATGTTTACTTTGAACTTTATGCCTCCATTTCAGGCACTTCAGGTTTCCAATCTGCAAAATCTTCTTTAATCCTTGTAATGACCCTGTAACATAGGGAAGACTATTATCCTCATCTTCTATGTGAGGAAACTGAAGCTGGGAGGGAAGAAGTCAATCCTCCAAGGTTCAGGCTGGTGAGGGGCAGAGCGTGGAGTGGGATGGGAAAAGGTTTTTCCACACTCAGAAATCTGAAAGATCAGAGCCCCCTTCTTCCCACCTGAAATCTGGTGCCATTATTGACACAAGGTTTCATTTTTTGACTCCATCAAGCAAACATCATCTCATTTTCTCCTTAGAGCAGCCCTGGAGGTAGGTATATTCATCCCCACTTCAGAGTTCCAGAAAACCAGGGTTTAGCAAGGCGGCTTGCCCAGGGTCCCAACCCCTCTGATGTGGTGCAACCAGGGATTTGAATCCGTGGCTCCCTGATTGTAAAATTCTGCTCTTAACCTCACCGTGCTGTGCATGCCTCCTGGATACAGACATTAATGAAATACAGAGATACAGAGGAGTGGGCATCTAGGGAAATTCACAATGATGAATTCTGTAACAGGGCTTCTTGGAGCCTACGTATCATAGAGGAGGCATGACCAGCTCTGCTGGACAGGGGAAGCCTCGCAGAGAAAGTGACCTGGAACAAGGTTCAGAATGATGACTAGGAGCTTACTACACAAACACACCTGTGAGCAGGGGAAGGGCATTTCAGGCAGAGTACCTCCTGGGGAATGAGAGCCTTGTGCTATAGTCGTGCCTTTGTGGGGAGCTACCAGCAGGTTGGAAAGACTGGCTTCCCTGTAAGAAAGGGAAGTGGTACAAACTGAGGTCAAAGAGGGCAGCAGGGACCAGCTCTGGAAAGGCCTTGAATGCCAGGCCAAGGGGTTAGACTTGACCCTCACGATGGATGGGGAGCCTTGGGAGACTTCTAAGCAGGAGAAGGATATGATTGCCTTAAGCAGGGTGTCAGGGCTGCTGTGGGCACCACACGCATGCAGGCACACGCCTTCCCTTTCTCAACCACATTCATCTTCTTTTCAGGAAAGGGTACTGAGGTTTTAATGAACTCATTACTCATTCCACTGTCAGGTGAGTCCAATTGCAGTGGAAGGGTGAACAGAGGGCTCTTCCTGCCGAGGCCATGCTGCTGCGATCTCGTCAGCAGCTGCCCTAGCCCTGTCCCTGGCAGAAGCTCACTCAACCTGTTCTGCCATGACCCTCCCCTCCCACCTCCTCCCAATCCCACGCTTTGCTGCCTCCTGAACTTCCCAATCCATTTCAATGGGCTTGATTGGAATCATGTCTCCCTGGAACTTACTACCATCTGTCTCCCTATGCCATTGTCTCGGTGGGTGCCTCTGCATCTCTATCTCATGACTGGGTGTGGGAAGCTTCTGTTTGTACCCTGGACAAGCAGTCTGTCTCTCTGTCTGTCCATCTTCTTTGCACCCCTACCTCCAGCCTGGGCCTGCCCATCCAGCATCTCCTCCTTCCCCTTCCCTTCTCCTTTCCACCTTGGACTTTTGGCCTGACTTGCTCTTTCTTTCCTTACCTTGAACTCCCTGTCTGAATGTCTGTCTGCCTGTCTCTTCTCACCTTAGTCCCTCTGATTGTTCACCTCTTTCACTCTCTTTCTCTCCACCTTTTCGAGACATTCTCTGGAAACAGACTGCTCCAAAGTCTATTCAGTAGAATGGCATAAGGTTTTGCAAATTCCTAACCATGTGGATTAGACTCAAGTAATCTGTGGAAGGGAATTCAGGCAAGAAAGGAAGTCTGTCTTTCCGCTCATCATGATGGAGGCAGAGATGAGGCCACTAGAGACGTAAGCATGGGGCACCACATTATTCTGGGTACCAGGCACCTCCTTTTCTTCTTCTCATCCTAAACCACATGGCCCTACCCAGGCAGGAGCCACAAGCTCCTGATAGTCCAAGTTAAACTGTAAGCAGCCAGAGGGCAAGGAAAACCCTCTGTTTCATGGGCTCATGGGCTTCCATGGGTGAAAAAACCTCTTGAGATTCAACTGTTACCAATTTCTTTTTCCCAGATGAGAGCTCTTCATCCCAAAGAAGCAATGGCATGCGAAGTTCCTGTCCAGGGCTTCAAGGCACAGGGTAGGCAGTGGTCTTCTGGTTTGCATGTGGCCTGACTTCACTCCTCTGTGGTAACACAGATGCACCATAGCAACTCTCTTCCTTCAGTATTTATGGCATCATGTTTACCAGAATTTATGTTTTTCTTCCTTGGGCAGCGTTGTTTCTAGGGAATGGCTGCCCAATCATAAACTACATTTCCCAGCATCCTTTGGATCTAGGGGGGAATATGTAATTAGTTCTTGCCATTGGATTGTGAGTGGAAGCAATGTATGTCATGTCTAGATGAAAGTGTTTAAGAAGAGGTTGTACCTGATTCATACACGTATTTTCCTTTCTTGTGAGCCAGATGCAGGGGACTCCAAGGTCTTAGGGGATGGCAGAGCCACAAGACAGAAGGAGCTTGGGTCACTGAATCATACAGAGAGCCACCTGCCAACCAGGAGCACCCACATTGACCTGTTACCTGGGGAAGAAGGGATTTATTTGTTATAGCAGCTGGCATCTCCCTAAAAAATGCAGTGTTGGCCGTAGGTTATATACTTATAGGGACTCACCAAATCTGCTTTCTAAGGTATAGTCATTCTCATTTGCCTATCTTTGATGAAGAGGCCCTATCCTGGAATCTTCTACATTGCCAAATTTCAGAGAAAAGTACATGACAGAGGTGGGACTGATGCATCACTGCCTGACCATGGCTCTCATGGTCCTCTGTGCTCTCCTGGCTACCTTGAGCTCTCACCTATCCCTCCAACTTTCCCTTTGTCATTATTTTGCTGCACCACTAGTCTTTTAAAAAATTATTATTTATTTAATAATGATTATTAACTTTTTATTTTTAAAATAGCTATATGAGGCTGTGTGTTGCTATAAAATAATATCTGAGGCTGAAAAATTTATAAAGAGAAGAGGTTTAATTGGCTCATGGTTCTGTAGGCTGTACAGGAAGCATGGTGCTGGGATCTGCTTTTGATGAGGGCCTCAGGAAGCTCACAATCATGACAGAAGATGAAAGGGAAGCAGGCAGTCACTTAGCAAGAGAGGGAGAGGGAGAGGGAGGGGGGAAGGAGAGGGGGAAGTGGAGGGGAAGAAAGGAGGTGCCACACACTTTTCAACAAGCAGATCTCATGTGAACTCAGAGGGAGAGCTCATACTCATCATCAAAAGAATGACCCAGGCCATTCATGAGGGATCCACCCCCATGATCCAAACACCTCCCACTTAGTCCCCACCTCCAACACTGGGGATTACACTTCAACATGAGATTTTCAGGGGACAGATATCCAAACCCTGTCAGTTGACAAATAAAAATTGTATATATTTATGTCATATAACATGTTGTTTTATGCATTGTGGAATGGCTAAACTAAGCTACCTTTGGTCTTTTATTCTGCTCCTCAAACACATTAGCCATACTCCTATTTTAGAGCCTCTGTACCTGCTATGGTCTCCTCTTGGATTGCTCCAGCCCTAGATCTTCTAAGGCTGTCTTTTTTCTTGTTAACCAAATTCTATGTCAAACAATCCCTCTCCAGTGAGGTCTTTCCTGACCACCCAGTCAAATGCAGTTGACTCCAACTCACCATCAACCATCATCCAACCTCTATCACAGCTTCATGATTTACATCCTTAATGGCCTTTGCCATTACTTGAAATTATCTTGTCCATTTACCTGTTCACTCAGTTATCATCCCCACATGCCTCCCTTTGGTCTCTGCTTCATTTAAGGAAACAGAAACTCGGAAAGGTACTGTAACTCACCAGAGGTCACATCGCCACTGAATAGTGGTCCCAGGGTTTGAACAGGTCTGACAGATTCTGCCAAAGATAGTTTCCTCTTTACTACACTGTTCTCTAGACCCAGCAATAACTAGAGGGATGTGCTTGTTTTATCAGGACATAACTTTGATCATGAATCCCAAGGCAGGGTGGTATAGGGGAAAAAGTATGAATTATCCAGTTGGCAGGCCTAGTTTCATGTCCTGGCATTGACATTTTCCAGTATTAAACATCTCTGCATACTTTTCTCTCAAAACGGAATTAACATACTTACTTCAAATAGGTAATATGAGGACCGAAGGAGATAGTGTATAAAGCAGGTAACCCAATGCCTGCACATAGTGGGTCCTCAGGCAAATACGTCATTTTTTTTTTTAAACAAAGATGTCAATATTTATCCTGAGCATTCCACCTTCATCAATGGAAAGGGAAAAATGCAAATTTGAGTAAAACCACAAAAGATTCTAAAATGTGGCTGATTCATTTCTGACTTCTTTCCCAGGCTTTGTTGGGAAGTTAGGTTAAAATCCAAGTCAGACTCCTAGACCTCATCCCAGTTACTGTGCTGAAAGCAGACAGACTTTAGGATTAAAAATTTTCCCTCATTTTCCCCCCTACGAAGCACAAATGTCATGGACAAGGGGCAAACTCATTATAGCTAGGTTTCTATCTGCCTAGTCCAGATGCATGTGCTAAAATATGAGGCCAGTTCCAATGGCCAGCATCCAGGACCATGTACACTGTGACTAATGTATGTAAAACACACACAAGCCTCCTCTCTCCCAGCATCTGGACCCCAAAGCAAAAGTTAGCTACAAAGAAATTTCAGGCGGACTCTCCAAAGTCTTCACTGCTTTTCAAGTTTGGAGGCAGTGAATCTGGCTTAAAGCAAAGGAGCCCTTTGTTGGGACTGGGATTTATTTATTTATTATTTAATATGGATGTTACTATCCTGACAGTGTTCATTGGCCCTTGGCTGTAAAGTTCACCTTTTAGGTAAAATGTCAGGACAGCCTACGTTATATACTGATAACAAATAACCCTGATTTCTCAGGGGGTTAAAACAACAAGGGTTTATTTCTTGTTCATGCTACAGGTCTAGTGTAGTTTGCCAGGTGTCCCATGCTTACTGTAACCACTCAGGGTCCTAGGCCAATGGAAGAGCCATTACTGCAAACTTTACCAGTTGTTGGGCCTGGAGGAGAAGAAGGATCTCACACTGATAATTAACTGTTCAGTCTAGAAGTGACATCTGGCACTTACACTCCCAACACATCTGCCAGAGCTGGCCATATAACTCCATCAACCACAAGGGGAGCACAACCTGCAAACCTACTGTGTGCCCAGAATGGGGGGAACCAGAAAGGTTTGTGCACAGCATCTTATTTCTATTCCTCATGCTTTCTGGACGGGTTACCAAGTCAAGGTGATTCAAGTCTCATCATAAACAAACAAACAAAAGTCTCATTCCCTTTGCTCCATGGCTATGCCTGCTTCAGCTCAGGCTTCACACTAGTTAGGCTTCTCCCCTAACGATTGCATCCACCCCAATCTTGTCTCTTTGCCACTCTTCACCTTGTATTTCATCCTTGGCTTCTCGGTCGGAGTGATCACCCAGACCTCCTAGTCCACCAGGTCGTTCTCTTCCAGATAACAAAGCTTGGGGCCTTCTGACACCATCATTCCTGCAATCCAGCCTAGATTTGTAGAGAGAGGAAGATAAAAGATATGTTTGTCTGTTTGTAGGAAAAGTTCTTTCAGGATCTTCTGCAGCTGTGATTCTAGGGCTCAATTATTATTCTCATCCAGGAAGCTGCAGACATACACCTCCTGTAGGGGGTCCAACTCAGACACTTAATTAGCAAAGAAAATTAAACGCCAAGGAACTGGGTTCTACAGTTGCTGGATGGCTTCTTGTGTGACCTGCTGCTCAGCTGGTGGGAGGGACGTGAGGTGTCTGGGCCTTGGTGTTAGAGCATGATGGACCCTTCACAACCCAATGGCCTTACCTTGCCCGGCTGCCTTGTCCCCAGGGATGTCTTTCAGGCCCTGCTGCATATTCCACCCACTCTCCCTCAGGGGATGTTATTCTTCTCTCCCAGTGGACGACCTCAAAAGGCAAAATCCCTAATTCAGTTCATCCAAGTAAATGATAACCCTCCCTCCCACGAGCACAGGCCTGCCCCATTGACAAAGCATGTTCACTGACAGTGGCTCACTGCATCCTTTCAGTAATGCACGGAGAGGCTTTAATCACCAGCCACATCTGCAGTCATGGAAATGAAGGTTCAGGGAGGGCAGGTCACCACTCAGGGAACCATATAGTGGGAGCTGGAATCCAGGCCTTTGGGTTCCACTCCTAGGGTAACTTTCTGCTCCACTTCTTAGAGCAGAGACTCTGCATTGCACCTCCCAGAGCTGGATGTTTTGAAAGCCACATTCAGACTCAGTTTCCCCAAGCCTTCCTGGCTTGACCTGGAGCTGCGGCCAGACTGAGACCACAGGCCAGGAGATAATCAGGCCTGTTCTCTGTCTGCTCCCATCAGCAACAATGGGCCAATTAAGACAATTACTACTGGTTTATATAACAGGAAATAGGGATCACAGTGCTCAACTTGTTGAAAATCTCCTATAAAAGTGCTAATAATGCATTAATGTATTAATCCCCTTAATCCTGTCAAATTACCACAGAAGCACTCTGCAGAGCTGACAGTGGCTCTCCCTGTCCCTGTGGTGGGCACTGCTGTCTGTGAGGCTCCAGGTGCTCCTCTCTGGCCACCCTTTCCTGCTCAACACTCCTCAGGAAGCTCTCAGGGGCTGCAAGGACAGGATGGCAACTGAAGACCTTTGGAAGGAGATAAATATTGATTCTTTTAAAGACAGATGACGATGCATACTTTAAGCAAAGATTCTTGATTCTTTCTCAGCAAGGAGAGACTCAGCTCTGGACGGCTGACTCTATCTCTTGCTGTGTGGTCTTGGGCTTCTTTTCTAGATTCTCTGAGTCTCCAATTCCTCATTTGTAAGACGTGGTAATAATAGCTCATTGCAGAGGTGTTGGAAGATTCTAAAGCGGCAGGCAAATGACTGACACGTGAAGGCATTCCACAGATATGCCGTCTTTTTTCCAGCTATAAAATGAGAGTAAGAATTCCCACCATGAGGGCTAAATGAAATTACAAGCATCAGTTTCCTGACACACAGTAGGGCTAACATACATAGCAGGTATTTCCCTTCTCATCCTTGTTTGTTGTGGTTTGATTAAAATGCTGCCTGACTTTCAAGAGAGCTTAGGAACAAAGACTGTAGAACTGAGTGAGTTGTTCAGATATTTCTAAAGCAGGTCATATATTTTCTGAGACTCACTCTTCGAGGTGGGGAGAATTTCATCCCCAGGTCAGCCTACATGGGGTCCTCCTAATCTTCCTTATGGGCATGTTAGAACGTGTGGGGAGGAGGGTGCTGGGATGGGTCCTGGACACCTAAAAATGGGGAAGAGGCTTCAGTCTCTGACTACATCTAAGGTACTGGCACAGCTTTGGTTTTAAGATGCTGTGATCAGCCTGGTCTTGCTGTCTGGTGGTCCTTGAGGCTCCCAGGAGGCCCTTCAGGGCCCTGTGGGGGCCTCTCAGTAGATGGTGGGCCACAGAGACCCTTTGCTACATTTGAGGCCTCAGTCCTATGACCACCTCACAGGAATCCCATAGTTTCCCCTGCTGGAGGGCATGTGGGTATCTGTAGGCAGAACTCTGCCATTCTTTGGAGTTGGAATTTAGAAGGGAAGAATCCATACCCCCATCCCTGTCGCCTATTCAATTCTGGGGAGCTCCTCTGTCTCTCAGAGTCAGCTACTTCTGTTTCCTCCATTCCAAGCAAGAGTTGGGGTTGGTGAGGGGGAAGGACTAAGGGTTATTATCTTCTAAGTGATTTTGGTTTCATGCTCTAAAATATAGACACTCTTAAAAATACCCTCTGGCAATGGCATTAAGACACAGAAAGCTAGGGTTTGACTACCTATTAAGATGGCAACAAGGGGAAAAGGCCGGCCTTCCTCCCTCCCTCCTTCCCTCCCTCCCTTTCTGCCTTCCTTCCTTCCTTCCTAGAGTAGTGTGAGAGTTTTAAAATATGTTCAAAAGTTTGTGGACACCCCTCCCTCCAACAGGTGAGGCCTAAGTTCCCCCTCCCTCCTTAATGTGAGCTGCACTTAATGACTTGATTCTAATGAAGAATATGTGACAGAAGCAGTGGTGTGTGATGGTGTGGATCATAAAATGTATGTGACTTTCTCCTTGCTCTCTCTGAAGCACTGACTCTGTGGGGGAGGCCAGCTTCCATGTTAGGAGGACACTCGTAGCCCTCTGGAGAGGCCCTCATGGTGAGGAACTGAGGTCTTCTACCAATAGCCATGCAGTATGCCATCTTGGAGGCAGATCCTCCAGCACCAGTCCAGTCTTCAGATGACTGCAGCCCAGGCCAGCATCTTGAGTGTAACTTCAAGAGAGACCCCAAGTCATAACCACTCAGCTAAGCCATTTCTAATTCCTGATTCTCAAAACCTATATGAGCTAATAAAAATGTTTGCTGTTGTTTTAAGTCACTAAGTTTTGAGAATAACATACTATACAGCAGTAGGTAATTAATATAATTAACAGTGAAAACAAAACATGAATTGATATTTCAATAAGTAACCCTCAATGTGTGTGTGTGAGTCTGCAAAAATGGTAGACTGTGTTCACTCATTTAGCACCTATTTATTAAAGCCCCATAGCCAGGCATAGGGTAGGTGAACATGGGCAAATCACAGACTCAGTGTCTAGGAGGCTCAGTTTAGAGGGAATAGACATAATAATACAGAACAATGATGGACAAGAGAACCCAGATGGCTGTGGCAGCCAAGGAAAAGGGGCCCATGACTCAACCTAGCTTGTGTCCAGGGAAGGTTTCTTAGAGGTGAGGACAGCTATTGTGAGACTCTAACGATGAGTAAGAACCAGCTGGATGAAGATGAAGCATGGGGAAGATCTTGTACACCAGGCAGAGAGAACTGCTCATGCAAAAGCCCTGTGAGTGGGAGTTCATTGCCTCCCAGGATATTTATCGGTTAGGTGTAGTCAAAGCTTAGGCATGCGTGTGTGTTTACATACTTGCATATGTGCATGGAGGGGAGAAAGGTAGACATAGAGTACTGTGATGAGAAAAAGCAGGAAGAAGCAGAGAAATACAAATTCAAGTCTTTGCCTACCATGTCATAGGTGTGTGATTTTGGACAGGTCACATCACCTCTCTGAGCTTCATAGCTCCTTCTTTGTAAAATGAGAATCCATTCGACAGTATATTTAACAAAGATCTACTACATCCAGGTTTTGGGCTAAGTCGGGGAGTACAATAATGTTCACCAGACAGCAAATCTTGCTCCCCAGGAGTATAGAACTGAGGGTGGTTCAAATGTGTGTCATGTCCTTGATCTGTAGCAGCATTCTTCTGGAGCTATGTCTTCTTCCTCTTCTCATCTCCAAGGCCTAGCACAGACTACTGAGGGTATTGTTTATATGGCTGAGCATGACCTAATGGCTTCGCTTTGAGTTCAGAAGGACTCTGCTTTGAGTCTGGTTACCAGTCTTGGGCTCTGACATCAGACTTCCAGGCTTTTAATCTCTCCTTCAGCATTTACCAGTTAGATGACTTTAGGCCACTTGATTCATCATCTCTGTAAGCCTCTGTTTCTTTATATAAAAAAAGGGAATATTATAATAAAATCTAACAGGTTTCTGTAAGGATTGAGTACCATAACGTAAGTTTTTAGACATTTGGTAACTGCTCAGTAGTTGGAAGCAATCTTTGTGACTATTTGTTAGCAGGAGAACTTGGTGCATATAGCATTCTGGTTACATGCTGGGACTCTGAAGCCTGGTTGCTGGGTTCAAGCCCAGATGCTGTTACTTAACAGCTCTATTATCTTGGGCAAGAATTTAATTTCTTGCTGCCTCTCCATTTCCTCATATGCAAAGTGGGAGTAATAGGGGAACCTAACTTAACAGTTTGCTGTGTTTGTTAAACACACTAGTATATGTGGAGTGCTCAGAATAATGCCTGGCACTCAACAAGGGCTACATAAGTGTATTATTTTTTACAATGCTACCTTATTCTTTGCAGTTTGAAAGAGGGTGTTGGACAGGCATCAGCAGGAGAAATTGGCCATGTTGTTGAGGGAGCAGAATGGAGGCTATTTATCAACCCTTAGAGGGTAGCAGCACAAAGAAAGAGCCCTTTGTGTTTATGTAGAGTGATCTAAGCTGTGTCCCACCCAACCCACACTAAAGCCACCCCTCCTATTATCCAGGAGACCCAGAATGCACTGCAGCACAGGGCCAATCCCATGCCCCCTGCCTGCAGCTCTGTCCCCTCTGCCCAGCAACAGGGACTCAGGGATGTGTGTGCTGGCTTAGCAGGACTTGGGGGTTAGCCAGGAAGGGCGGAAGGCAGACACTCTCTCTCCTGCCCCCTGCCATCAGCAGGCTGGAGGACTCAGACAAGTCCTCAGCTTAATTGGCAAATGGATTCTCCAAGGGTAATTTCGTTGATGCGCGCCGTGGGAGGGTCTGCAGGCCTTAATGACCAGCTCTGCGGCTAAACGTGTTTACCAAAAAATAAGGTTATTGATTCCACAGATATTTTGTTTGGCCCTCACCATCAGCCTATTAACGCGAGTTTTATGTAACAGGACAAATAGATCACAGTGTAAAGTCTTTTGAAAATCCCCTGTGAATGCTGTAATAATGCTTTAATGTATTAATCCCCTTAATCCTGTCAAACTTCCAAAAGAATTTCAGGACGTGCTGACAGAAGATCTCACTCCCAGCCCTGGCAGCCGTAGCTCCATGTGGCGGCTGCTGCTTTCAACCTTTTGTGGATGGGCTGAGGAGAGGCAGCTGTGTTAGTAATGGCTACAGGGTTATGAGCTGATATTAGAGGGTGTGGGAATAGATGGAAGAGGCACGGGTGCCTGCTTAAGAAAAGGAAAGACAGCCTAAAGAAAGTGGCAGCCCTCAGGGCCTTACAGCACGGAGCTGGCTAAGATAGACTTGCGAGGCAATGGCGCCTGGCATGCACTGATCTCTTCATTCCTCCCTTTCATCTCGCTCTGTTTCTGTGTCTCCGTCACTCTTTTTCTCTGCTGGGCACTGAGCTAAGCACTTTACCTGTGTTGTTTCATTTAATCTCCACAACAGCCCTGTGAGGTAGACACTGCTATTCTCTGCACATTATACATGTGACTGGTTTGTCTGGATTGCTGGCAGGTGACAGAGATGGGGTTCAAAGCTTGGTCTGACCCCAAAGTCCAAGCTGCCTTCTTTCTCCTAGGTTGGAGCTCAGCAAAACTTTTCTATCAAGGGCCAAGGAGTAAATAGTTTGGGCTCCTTGTGCCCATACAGTCTCTGTTGTAAGTATTCAGCTCTGTCACTCAGCATGAAAACATCCACGTACGTACACTACATAAGCACATGGGCGTTCTGCGTTCCAATAAAACTTTATCAAGATAAGGGATGGGTTGAGTTTGGCCTGCAGGCTGTAGCTGGCCCACCCCTGTACTAACAGGTAATGGGGGCCAGTGGGATTCCTGTAATGGTTTTTTTGGATGGCGAGTCTGAGAGTTGGGAGGGATAAACATTCACGATGGCATCTGCAGGGAGGTGCTGGACATCTGCCTCACTGTAGGGGCTTTTGTCTTGTGATGCAGGAGAGATAAGCTGAAACCCAGACAATGGCTGGACTGAAGGCCTGGTCTCTCTTGGGCTCTGGATTGAGAGGGGACCTGGTTTGGGGTAGCTGGAGTACAGACTGCCT